TATATAACCTTTTGTTTAGAAGAGGGGCTTTACTCCTTTTAGGATATGATAACTAAATTTCATTTATATGTGCGAATGCAAATTATGTGATTCCCCGATCGAAATTCATAGGAATTACTGCGTCGTATGCAGAAGATCACGCACGCATTAGGAAAAAGTTCATCGATCCTATTTTTAATTATAATACTTTTGTTACTCGATATGAGTTAATACAATGTTAATACAATGTTAATACAATTCTTGGGATGAATACAATGTTGAGAAACTGAGAATCGGATATATGCGTAGCATATATTATAGTTAGTAATATATTAGTTATCGTTAAACCATTGGGTTGCAACAATATAATAAATATACGCGTTTTCACGCTGTATGGCACAACAGTAGGATATAGGAGTGTTCAGCGGACATAGCAGTAACTATAAATATTCCTTCATATTTTCCAGTATTCTTTTAATTTCCGATTATGTCCATAACGAAATCTGCTGCTCTTCCACAATAACGGCATTTTGAAGTGTCGACTATTATTTTACGCGGTTTGTTATTATCCAGGTCATACGCCGTCGGTCGGTCGTTCGGTCGCTATGATGTTTCCGTTCCGTAGGTACATTGTGCGAATGACCCTCTTGTGTCAACTGCTCTCACAGGTTTCGAAAACAATATCATATTAATAATAATAATAACTAGTCGTGTACGATGACAATCATAAATGTTGGAGAGTCTTGTGAGTAAAATTCCTGAACATACAAAGAAAAAGGGGTTGCTCGTAGGTAAGTGGCTAGAACGACTGGACCTGGGTCAGGGGTCCTGGGTTCGATGAGCCTACTGTCAAGCAGTAGTGACAACGGTTTTCACTTGGAAATATAGATAGCAATATGCTTCCAAGTGAAAACAGTCCTCACCCGGCATTGCTGCACCATTAAAAATACTCGCCCTATTACAGAAATTGTTATAATAATATATCATACAGAGATCTGACAACTGTTTGGGTTGCCATCTATCAAACAGACTAGTATTAAGTCAAAATCAGCACAACAGCTTATAGGACTTTGAGGTTCTGATTACTGTTCAAAAATAATAAAAATAAAAAAATATTAATAATAATAACTAGTCGTGTACGATGACAATCATAAATGTTGGACACAGATACAAAGAACTACAAACAAATGGTACGAAATTTTCTTGAAAATTTTGAAATTCTGATGATGTGATAGTTTTCTTCTGTTACGGGGGTATTCTGGTCTAGAGGCATGAACTTCATGCAATCTTTGAAAATCCGAAAAAACACACCAAATATATTCGCTCTACATTTTTTTTTACAAGCTATTGACTAATATTTTAAGAATCTAGATAAAAAAATAAAAATTAACTAGTGGTGCATGGCATTGTGCCTTATGGCAAGTTGCTGGTACTTCCTGTGCCAAAAATTAAAATGATTGAAAAACTTTTTCATTTTTTTGAAAACTTCGAAAAAAATGGGATTTTTGAGAATTTTGAAATTTTTTTGACTTTTTTGAAAAATGTGATTTTTTTTTATATTTCGAATTTTTATATTTCTGAAAATTTTGAACTTTTCAAATCGCGTAAGCGCCTCAGCGCAGTTTAACGGATAAATATTGGTACGGAACACATAGAAATGTAAAACGAACTCATACTTCTCTATTAAAAATTATTCACAGCTTTATTATTAAAATATGTGATAATTTAATATGCATATGTCTAATGATCAGTTTTGACCTCCAAATGGCGTTTTTTACTGTTTTTCATTGTAACTTCGAAACCGCTAGACCTGCCTTTCCAAACATTTAATCAGTTCTTTATTATATCAATACAAACAAAATATTTCTGAGTCATTTAAATCGGACGCTCTATTATCTCAAAATCTGAATTAACATTTTTGTCATTTTTTGCCTTGTATCTTCGAAATGGCTGGACATGCCTATGCAGAAACTAATCAGTACGTCTCCTTATCAGTAGAAATCGAATGGTTTTCAAATCGGATGATCCGTGTTCTCGAAATCGTTGACGAAAATTTGTATCCGCACACAAACACACACGCACTCATACACACACGCACACACATCATTTTTCTTAAGGTACGCCAATATGTTCAGAAACCTTTGAAACGTAAAGAAAAATAGAAATTATCATTTTTGTTTTTTTTGCGATTACTATAACTTACCCTACGTGGAAATTAATAGAATTAAAAATAGATAAATTAAATTTACAAATTTTAATTTTCTAAGAGTCGGTGGTCTCAAAAAATTAAAGGCACCATGATTTCAGACCTCCAAATAATGTGAAGAAAAGGATTATTAGTTTTGATAAGTATTGTAATTTTAGAAATAGTTACCTGTATGTGACATCCATCACTTGATGATGGAGTCAATTTCTTGAATTTTTTATTTTTTTTTACTTCTTTTTTGGTACTTATTTTTAAATAATTTTAATTATGCACTAATTACTATTTTGTTTAGTTAGTTTCTTCAATTTTTCAAACACTTTTTTAAAAAAAGTATTTGAACTATTTTTTTTAAAGTTTATTAAATTATGAAAATATTGGAATTGCTATGAAGATATCAAAAAGTTAAGTGGATTTTTACTGATTAGTGAACATTATCTGGGCATTACGATTTATTGTCAAGCTTATTTTTAACCTTCAGAAGAAGTTCAGAAAGAAGACCTTCGTGGACGTTTTGTCAAAAAAGGCTGCACTGATTTATACATTATTCATTGTTCGATAAGGACTCACCTTGATTAGTTTTGAGAGACAATCTTTGCTTTTGCATTAAACGCTATTTGTATGTATGTTGCATGGTATGTATCTTTTACCTTCTTCACTGCATTCGTGTAAATTTTCTTATATCATCTGAGGAATTTCGTAAGAAATTGCATAAAACACATGATTCGACGCGTAAAATCAAGAGTCTATAATGAATTTCGAAATGGACACTCCTCAATCCATCTCTCTGTGATGAAAATATCCCTTTCACCTATGTTCTTCATCACACGGATATCAGATCTGTACAGATCTGTACAGATCTATACAGATTCTGCAAATTCCTCAAAGGTCGACCAACAAGATATTCTACAAGAAACGTTGATTTCTAGAAGGTTTTAATTAATAGTTGATTTTATACTGATTGGGAGTTGCTTATGATTTCAAATGTATCGCACACTTTTATTGATGATGGTAATAAAATTCCGAGATACTATAAAATACGAGAACTATAAAATTCATTTAGAAGTATCTATAGAAGTTGCGTATTTTGAAAGTGGTTTAAGACCATTCATACATACTAAATAATTATGAGTAATTAAATGAATAACTAAACAGTTGTGTTAAAAATGATCTGTAATAAAAATTTAGCTTTGTCTTAATTAGCGTGTATGGCATTGTGCCTTAAGGCAAATTGCTGAAACTTTCTGTATCAAAAAAAAAATTAGAAATATATATATATATATATATATATATATATATTTATTTATTTTAAAAACTTTGAAAAATATAGATTTTTGAAAATTTTGAAATTTTTGAAGAAAATTGAAAATTAAAATTTTTAGAAAACTTTTTAATTTTTTTGAAAACTTTGAAATAAAAAACTAGATTTTTGTGAATTTTGAAAATTAAAAAAAATTTGACTTTTGAAAAATTTGAATTTGTTTTTATATTTCGAAATATTTTTTAACTTCTCGTAGGGCAAGTTATAGTAATCGCAAAAAAATCGAAAATGAAAATTTTTATATATTTTTACGTTTCAAAGGTTTCTGAACATTTTGGCATACCTTAGAAAAAATGGATGTATGTGTGTGTGTGTGTATGTGTGTGCGTGTGTGTATGTGTGTTCGGATACAAATTTTCGTCAACGATTTCGGGAACACGGATGAAGCGATTTGAATAATTCAAAAAACTTTCGATTCGTATTGATAAGGAGACGTGCTGATTAGTTTTTGGCGAAGGCAGGTCTAGTCGTTCCGAAGATATGGGGCAAAAAGTGCCAAAAACGGTAACTCAGTTTTTAAGAGAAGGAAGCGTCCGATTTGAATATTTCAAAAAACATTTTACTTATATTAACAAGATGAAGAATTGATCTAATTTTCATGAAGGCAGGTCTAGCGGTTTCGGAGATCTAGTAAAAAAATTAAAAAAAAAAATGCCATCTGGCGGTCAAAAATTATCATTAGACATATGCACATCAAATTATCAGATATTTTATAGAGATTTTAACAATAAGTATAAATTTTGTTTACATTCCTATGGGTTCCGTACCAATGCTTATCCTCACTAGTTTTTATTGAAACTCCGAACCGTTGGACCCTCTTTTCCAAAAATTTGAACAGTTCTTTGTTTATTAAATACAAATAATATGTTTTTTTAAATAATTCAAACCGGACGTCCGTTCTCTCAAAAACTTAATTATCACTTTTGCCCCGTATCTTCGAAATAGAATGTTTTTTGAACTATTCAAATCGGTTGATACGTGTTCCTGAAATCGTCGACAAAATTTTGTATCCGCACACACACTATTTCTATTTGGCATTTCTAAGATATGCCAAAATTTTCAGAAACCTCTGAAACGTAAATATATATACAAATTTTTATTTTCAATTTTTTACGATCACTATAACTTACCCTACGGGAAGTTAATAATATGTTGAAATTGAGAGTTCAAATTCTAATATTTGTTGTACTTTTTTTGCATATGCAAGCTGAAGTTTTGATAAATTTCCGAAATAATCGATATTTGGATCTTGTAATGTAGTGTTAATAATAAAACAGCAATTTGGTATATACAATAAAGCGATTTTTTTTAATATTTTGATTAAATTTTAGACATATTTTAAAATTGAAATATTGAAAAAAAACCACAAAACAAAAAAATACTACATTAGCTTTCTAAAATTATTATATTATTAACTTATTATCAAACAATTTACTTTAGCTATAATAAGTGTATTAGTTTGGTTCATGCTTTAATTGCAATAGAGTCCTTTTGTCTTCAAAATAGAATTTGTTTTGTTATTAAAGGCTTAAATCTTTTTGCAACAATCATAAGCAATACCATGCTTAACGCCAGCAAAGTAGCTTCCATGTAAAGTTTATGATCTAAATCCATTCCTTGAATACGTAGCGTTTCCTGTACGAAATATTGACCAATCCCATCTGCAAAAAATTGTAAGGATGCAACCAATATCTTACAAGATGGTGGAGCTTCACTGTAGATAAACTCGAAAAATGTAAGTGAGAAATAAATCTCTCCAAATATTAGTAATATGCTCTGAGGTAACATCCAAGAGATGTGCACTGAATTAGGTTCCGTGATCACGAAGAGATTTGCCTTTGTACCAGATATGGTGATGAGGTATACACCGCCTTGGTATAAATGAAAATTTAGGACTGACGCTTCATTCAAAATTAAATTATATTCCTCTACAACAACTTCCACTGTTCTCTTTGTATCGATAACCACCAGATCGCCAGCAACTAATGTTGGTGTTACTGTCATTGCTACATCTACACCTTTGGAATCTCTGGCAATGACACTATCTTCGATTTTAGCTCCAATAACAGATAAAATGGGCTGACCGGCTTCGGACTTCTCAAGAATCTCATTGTAAGAGATGGCAACTGCATTTCCATCTTCAATTTTCAACAATATCGACACGGCAGTACCGCCATTTGCTTCGATCATCTCGCTTATTTGCGAAAAGCATGTTCCCTTTACAATTAATGGAAATATTTGAAATGGTTTGCTAGGTATATGTTTATTGGTATACTTTTCTTGCACTCCCATGACAATAGGCTTGGATGTAATACTTGGTGCTTCTATTACTGCAATGCAATTAAGTTCATTGAATATTCTAATTTGAAACTCGTTTGATTGTGGCAAAACCGGCAAATTTATTTTAATACATGATTCTAAAAAGGCTGAAATCCAGAAAGCTAAGGCCACCATCAGTCCTCCAAAGATCATCCTTCGGAAGGTTCTATCTAACTTACATGGTTTTATCAATGGGTCTATAACATATTGACAAATAGGCATTAAAATAACTGCTAACAAGGGATTTAAAAGTTCAAAATGTTCTACTATGAATGTGTATGATCCAAATTGTCCGTCCATTCTGCTCGCTTGAAAAATCCATTCATCTTGACCCATAAAGTAAACACCGGAATAGAGCGGAATGCAACAGAATATAACGAGCATATTAAGGACGGTTTTGATGTCAACGACTAATTCAGTTCCAAATTTGGGTTCAGCATGGTCTAACCAATGGGCCTGAGGGTTAGTTTTTCGCTCTCGAATCGACTTCTTGAGTCCATACCATATGCATCGGACAATATTTTGGGCTGTTTTACGTGTAGTTCTATTTATAGTATAAAGAGGAGTACCAGCTAAATAAATGATCAGACATAAAATAACACATATCATACCTATACCAAAAGGCAATATGAAGCAGTCTTGCTCTCCTAAGCATGGAACTTTCGTTTTTGCCAATGGTGATATAAAATGTCCAACGAGTGAGGCAAAGTTTTGTATTATGTAGTTAATTCTAAAGTACTTCATCAGAGCCGCTCTTTGTTCTGGTAGTTTAAATTGATCTCCTTCGAATACGAATTGTGTTCGACTCAATATAAAACTATTAATTAAATGGTATACGAGTTCAAAATATACAATTCCTTTGGCCACTGAACGGAGACTTGGCAATGCTTCCAAAATAAATAACGATTGAGCAATAATACCTCTAAAGAATCCATATCCTAGAATGTAGTACTTGTTTCCATAACTTTCAGTGACCAATGCTCCGAATGGATATAGCAAATACGTTCCTATTCTTCGATAACGAAAATAAGACGTTGTTTCGGCTTTGGTAAAGCCAATTTTGTTCACCATGAACATACGCGTTATAGCGTTGTTTGATGCGTAATACATGCCCCAAAATACGCCAATGAAAAAGAATGGATATATTCCTTTGGGAATTTTACTTGATGTCTGCTGCTCTTCCATTTTTTTTCGATTTCAAATTTGGGCTGATTCAATTAGTTTGAAATAATAACTTTTTGATATCCCGATTTGACTTTTGGTTTTCATTTGTTTTTTTTTATAAAATACTATATACCATTCAAAAGGCTTTATTAAATACTTAGAGTAGTAGTAAGTGGCAATATTCCTTAAGGCCTGCATTTCCTGATATGTGTAAATAATTGACATAAATGAAATAGAATTGAGATTTAGCTATTTGGATAGAATATTCAACTGTTTATTTCAGAAATAGTTTTTTGCTTTCACCAAAGTTTAAGGGGATATTTTAGTGTAGAGCGATGAATTTTATGTCATTTTCGAAGTGTCGTAAAAGAAAGCAATGAATGTTTTTACTATCCATTTTTTACCACTTGTTTATTAGTAGTATTATTAAAATACAATACAAAAATTTAAAAAAAGTTGAAAATTGAAAAAACTGGGAGCTGATGAAGTGGGGGGGGGGGTCTAAAAAAATTGGCACCTCAGTCTCAGCCCTCCTAGCCATCCGAAATAAAAGAAATAAAAAGATTTAAATTACAATGATGTCGCAATCGCCCGAACTACTAGCGATGAGTAAAAAATTTTTTACAAATTTGCGGCGACTGTTTGAAAAAAAAGTGTTCGATAAATATAGTGAAAATAGAAATTCGGGGATGATGCTAGTTCGGGCTACAGATAAGTCTATAAACAAGAGTCTCTGAACATCTCAATTGGTACAACATCGGTCGAGTACAATTCGAGAAATGGTGTCAACAGTACTGAAAAAGTCTGTTCTAAGAAAAACACATTTAAAGTTTTGCGTGAAGTTCTTTGCTGTCAAAGTCATAAAATGATATGTTATACTTCTTTTATTTAATCTGCCATTCCTGCTTCATGCATCGGACTTTCTTTTACTTCAAAAAAACTATTTTCTCATTATTGTTCTGAGTTTCTGAACCTATACATCAAATTAATAATTCATTTGGTGATAAACTGTCTGAAATTCGTCTAATGACTTCCTAATGCCTTTTGTCCGATTAGACCCTGACAAACCAGTTTGGAGACCGAGTCAGTAAAATGCCTTTATTTCCGAAAATAGCTCAAAAACCTTCTCGTACCCATATTCTTAGACAGTTAAACTTTGAAAATATGAAATTAAAAAAAAAACGATTTTTTTGAATATCTACACTAGAATACCTCCTTAAATAATGATTATTAATTGATATCATTCAACTACATTTGTTCATTAATATCTGTTGTTATATTAACTACAGTCTATTAATACACCTTGTATATTTAAAATTATTCCAAATCAAATAAATTATATGAAAAAATTGACAAAAAATATTGACAAAAGCTTCGTTATACTCAACATAAAAATAAATATTCATATATTTATTACTTCTAACTTAGTTACAAAATGATCAGAAGGACCTGACTTGTTGCAACGTTTTCAATTTACTCCAAGTTTATAATTTTCGAATAAATGATCGTATTAAAAATAGAAGGACAAAGACATTGTTATACATAGGCTTGCCGGATCAACTAAACCTTATTTGATTTAGTAGATCGTTAGTCAATCGAAAGACCTTCTCCGTGAACTACATAATATCTCACATAAAACATCTCCACAATTAGAACTTGGCCCGAAGGTATAAATTGCTTTTAATGTGTGAACTGTTACTAGATTTATCACACGCCACTTCTATTCCGTCAGTATGGATAGAGAAGCACTTCTCTACTTCTTCAATGGTAGTTGGTTGTCGGTGTCGGTATGCATAAATTGACTTTAATTAATGCCAAGATTGTGCTCTTAGCATTTCACGACAACACGGCGAGATTCTTTGATTTGTACAAAGAAAATTCTATTCTGATTATCTCTTGAACTATACCAAGAGGAAAACTCTGTCAGTCAACTTATGACAACTGACATTTTAGAAAATTGATGAAATTTAATTATATCTTCTTTGGAAGGCAGGTCCATTGTATGGGAGCTTTGTCTACGTTTGCTTTCTATGCTTCAGCTTTGAACATTCTTGTTTTTTTCTCGTGGAAGTTCACACACCTGCCTTTGACAGAGAAATGGTCATCAAAGTGGTCTTCACAAATAAGAAGATGCCACTGACGATCAAGCTGAATTTCTACTTGTAGAAGAAAGTGGTAGAATGCAACATTTGGACATTGGAGTTGAAACTTTTGCTTTCGTATTTTCGAGCTTTTGCTTTCTATGCCTCAATTTGGAACGTCCTTGTTTTTTCCTTGAGAATTGAACATCCCTGTTTTTTTTCGTGGAAGTTCACAGACCTGCCTTAGGCAGAGCAATGGTCATCAAAGTGGTCTTCACAAATAAGCAGATACCACTGACGATCAAGCTGAATTTTTACCTGTAGCAGAAAGTGGTAGAATGTAACATTTGGATATTGGATTTGGAACTTTTTCTTTTGTGCTTTCGCGCTTTCGCTTTCTATGCCTCAATTTTGAACACCCTTGTTTTCTCCTTGAGAGCATTGTCTACGTTTCAAACTTCTGTCCTAATGCTTCTGCTTTCTATGCTTCAGCTTTGAACATCCTTGTTTTTTCTTATGAGAGTCCATAGACCTGCCTTTGGCAGAGTAAAAGTCATCATAGTAGTCTTCACAAAGAAGAGTATGCCACACGATCAAACTGAATTTCTACTTGTAGAAGAAAGTGATAGAATGCAAGATTTGGACATCGGAGTTGAAATTTTTGCTTTTGTGCTTTCGCGCTTTTGCTTTCTATGTTTTTTCCTTGAGAGCATTGTCTACGTTTCAAACTACCGTCGTAATGCTTCTGCTTTCTATGCTTCAGCTTTGAACATCCTTGTTTTTTTCTCATGGAAGTCCACAGACTTGCTTTTGGCAGAGCAAAAGTCATCAAAGTGGTCTTCACAAATAAGAAGATGCCACTGACGATTAAGCTGAATTTCTACTTGTAGAAGAAAGGTATAAAATGCAATATTTGGACATTGAATTTAAAACTTCTGTCTTCATGTTTTTTTCCTATGCCTTAATTTTGAATATCCTTGTTTTTTTCCTCGAGAGCATTGTCTTCGTTTCAAACTTCTGTCGTAAGACTTCTGCTTTCTATGCTTCAGCTTGAACATCCTTGTTTTTTTCTCATGGATGTCCACAGACCTGCCAATGACCATCAAGTTGAATCTCTACTTGTAGAAGAAAGTGATAGAATGCAAGATTTGGACATTAGAGTTGGAACTTCTGCTTTCGTGCTTTTGCTTTCTGTGCCTTAATTTTAAACAATCTTGTTTTTTTTTTTGTGAGAGCATTGTCTACAATGCTCTCGTCAAACTTCTGTCGTAATGCTTCTGCAAGGCAAGGCAAGGCAAAAGTTGTCAAAGTGATCTTCACAAAAAAGTGGATGCCACTGACGATCAAGAATTTCTACTTGTAGAAGAAACTGATATATGCAATATTTGGACAATGAAGTTGGAACTTCGGTCTTAATGATTTTTTTTCCTATGCCTTAAGTTTGAACATCTTTGTTTTTTCGTGGAAATCCACAGATCTGCGTTCGCCAGGGCAAGTGTCATCAAAGTAGTCTTAACAAAAAAGAAGATGCTACTGACGAGCAAACTGAATCTTTACTTGTAGAAGAAAGTGATGAAATTCAACATTCGGACATAGAAATGAGACTTGGGATTCCAAATCGAAATGGAGTTATTGCTCTGTACATAAGTTACTTCGAGAATGTCATATTATTTACAGTCATCTTTAAATCACTTATCATTGTTTTTATTTAATAATTGCATAGATAACTGACAGCATTTTATTGTATATTGTCACCATCTGAATAATTACACACACATTTGTTGACAAAATGAAAATATGCATTGCCAGGGTCTATTAATCAGACGTAAACAACAAAACAATGATATTTTTAATTTGGTTTCAAATTCATGCGTTTTAATTATAGTCCTACACTTCATTCAATGAAAAAATCAAGTTGATATCCTAATATTGGCATAAACCTTACACTTGCAATCCTTGGCATAAGTTTCACTATATATAGCAATCAAAATTAATACAATTTTATAACCTATTATGATATGATTCATGTATAAAAATCTCTGGTTGTGTAATTAAGGCTAAGGTGGGTATATGGTGGACATTTTCTGACTTTTGTATATTGTTCTTGATAACTTATTTGGTCGTTCTTCAAATTTTGATTTATGTATACTGCTTTTACCCTTAATTACTTCTCCTACGAAAAGTATTTCCAAATAATTGTGGATTGTAAAATTTTAAATGTACCACGGTAATATTTCATAAAATCTTTTAAAGTAGTCGTTGCATCTTAACAAAGTTGGACTTATTTGTGAAGCACCTCTACATTAGCTTCAAAAAGGTTTTATATACCAACACCTGTTTTATCTGGTAAAAGTTTTGATTTTCTTTCAATCAACCATCGCAGTACCTGCATTTTCGATATTTGATATGTTATTTTCATGCCAATTTAGTGTGCAGGATACCTGAATACGACTTCATTTTGTGATATAATAATGTGAAAGTTAGAGTTGTTATTCTGAGACAGGGTTCAAAGGGGAAAGATGAAGTATGTTCGTTCGAACAAGTTTCCATATTTACATTGAGTCAACGCTTTACATGAACAATATCTGTAGACCAAATTGATTTTGAAGAGTAAGTTTTGTTGTTAGATCCTTTTTAATAATAACTGTTACTTAGGCACGATGCCATGCACCCACCACTAGTTATACCAACAGGTAAATTACCAAAATTTTTGCTGACCTAAAAGAAAGTAGCATGGCCATACCCTGTCTTCCCTACTCTAGTATTCTATTTTTAGTTACTAGTATTTCATTACAAATATATTTATCAACATACATATTAAATTAGTCGTTGATTAAAAAAAAATAAAAAAGAATTCTTTCACGTCCATTGATTCATGCTCAAGTATTGTCTGTCACTGTTTGAGAATGCCAAAGAACAATTCTCGTACCGTATGCGCAT